CTCCTTGTGCAACACCTGCCAGTGTTTGCTCACCTTCACAGTAAAAAGTGTTTCCTGATGTTCAGAGTGRCCCTCCTGTGTTTCAGTTTGTGTCCACTCTGGGCACAAACCGTCTCTGGTCCTGTCAATGGTCATCACTGAAAAGAGCCAGGCTCCATCCTCTTTATACTTTTGGGTGTTTATACCAACTGCCCACTCAACCTTCTCCAGGCAGAATAGTCCAGTTTTCTCAGCTTTTCCTCATAGGAAAGATGCCCCTGCAACACTTTAAGGTCATGACACATCATGTGCAATTTTCACAGAAATTTTTGAGTTGCCTAATTCTAAGAGGTATTCCAGGCAGTTTCCATTAAAGCAGTTATGTGTCTCAGAAATTAAAAGCTTAAGTCTTCTTCACCATTTTTGTTGGTGGGTCTTTCTGCAGGAGGAAGCTATCATGAATCTCAGTCTGAGGCAGTAACGCCTTCCATTTACTGAATTGACACTTTTTGATAGGTATGTTTCTGGATTTATTCAAGAATAAATTGAATTCAGTTCTTTCTGTACCCTTCCAGACTCTACAGAGCCACTGACTTTAAAATAAATAATTAAATAAATAAAATCATAGATTGGGTGAGAATGGGTAGGGGGGAGATGTGTATCATGTAAGGGTACTGCAATACAACAGAAATGAGACTGAAGCCAACAGGAGTCATCCTGGCCACCTTCTGCTCCAGAGCAGGATCAAAAGTATCTAAACCATTCCCAAAGTGTTTATTGGAATTTGCAGGCATTAACTGAAAGAAACACAGAAAGTTATGTGGCCTCAGTTACGCTGCCATGAAAAGCTCCAGAAGGGAAGAAACAGGCACAATGCCTGAAATAATTCCTTCCTTTAACAAGCTGTTTTTATAAATGCTTTCTATGTCTTTCTGACATACCTACCTGATTCACTTACAGCTTTCAGGGTTGAATCAATTAAAGTTTCTTTCCACATCCCTTAAATTTGCAGATCTTTTCAGACAGATTACACTTTAAATGCCTTTAAGATTAACAGCAGATTCCAAACTCAAGTTCATTTACCAGTACCTCTTAAAATGTTCTGGACCACTGGATTGTAACTTTTTCTACTTGGCTCAATTTGTATATGAAAAGTTAAAATGACTGTTGAATGTTACCCTAATGATCTGAAGCGGTAAACCAGAATGAAATAATTCATTGTTAGATTCACTAAATTTGATGACAAATTGCACATTTGGGGGTCTTGATCTTACCTATTTATAATGCAGGAATTCAAGAATATATTCCATTTACTGGAATAAATCAGAGTRGTTGTCTTAGATCTGTCTCACAGAAGTATTTTACAAACTTTATTTAAGAATTTATAATTTATTATAAGAATTTATTATTTAACATTTTTCTCCCCTATTGAAGTAATATAAGGAACTTTAGTAAAAAAGAATTTTATTAGATTTTAGATTACTTCCATCAGTGCTTTCACTTTGTCAGGGCTTGGAGCACACACAGCCACAGAACTGACTAAGGAAGGGCAGCTGCAAACTGCCTCAAGAATTGTCTCAGACTTGCTTGGCAGGTGAYACCAAACATTTACAGTAGGTGTTTTCACTTAAAGACTGAAGATTCCCCAACCCCTCCCCTCACGAGCAAACTGAATCTCAGACATTCTCACACAGACTAGTTCGCCCATTCATAATTTGAGGCAAGAGTAGCCCACCAATSATGAGTATATTCTGATCTCCAGCAGCCCAACACTGTAAAAAATGTTCCTTCTGCCATTAAAGTCTCTCTCTGTCTTTCGCTCTCTTTCTCTCTCTCTCTTTCTCTCACTGTCTCTCTCCCTTTTTTTTTTTAAACCCTCTCTAGTTTATTCAAAATTGATCTTCAGCTAGGACAACAGACCCAGACACAATGTTGCATTAGTAAACAAACCAAAAAACTTACACAAATGTAATAAATATTACCTGACTTTTTACTCCTGGTTCCCACATTTTTTATCAAAAGATGGATGTTTTGGAGGGGCACAAAATAGCAATAAAAACTTACAGTACTTACAGGCTAACTACTACAACTCCCAAGATCATCTCATAATCACTGACTTACAACAGAGAGGTGCACATCCTCATGCTTTGTTTCTAGCATGATGCACTTTATGCTTACATTACTTCTGTAGAATGGAAACTGAGTACACTGATTGTGTAGTGACAGTAGTCTGCACATTCTTCCTGGTTCTAGCATCATCCATAAAATCAATAATTTTCAGTCAACTGCTACTACCAGGTCATGAAAAAAAGATAGATATAAAAGGATCATCTAGACAATTCTGAACACACATGCTGCCTTGCCATTTCTGAGTRTCTATCGTGTTCATGTCTTTAAGAATCATCTAGTAACAAGTAAAACACCTTAATGTAAGTKTACTATATTGATAATATCATTTTAATCAACCAAGTATGTAACTCTGGCCCCAAAGATATTCRACTAGCTCTATTTTCCTTAGGACTCTGATAAATGCTCATTCCTTTAATTGCCAGTCAATTCCCTTATCAGTCATAAAATCACTTTATTTGAGAACATTTATCTTCAGATTCCTTWATTTGGGAGCCTTTATCTTAAATTTTGTAATTGCAATGACAGAACATGAGTGGGAACCTTGAGGCAGCTGAAATCATGTGCCTTCAGTTCAAAGGCAACAGAGATATTTGKCACATTACTATATATTAATGCCTTTTTCTYATATATTCTGTAAATTATGTAAGCATGTAACATGCACAATTCCTAAACAATATGATCAAGTTTGCCAGGACAAAAACAGTAAGAGATCTGTTAAAGGAYGAGACACCTATATGTTCTCTAAATGCTTGGTTTTTTTTCATGATCAGTTTGCATTGATGTCAGAAAGTTTAGTTATTCTCTGCTTTACAAGTCATTCTGCATAGAGATAGCTTGAAATAACATACAAAACCGAGGGTTTTCATTGTCAGGGAATTCAATGCTCCTGATGAAATATTTTGTCCCCATCATACTCGATCATTCTGATCTTCAAAACCTGGGAAGAATACAGAATAGCTAACTCTGGATTCTGAGATTTATGGCAGAGACTAACACATAAAATCTCAAAAATTTCACTTGGGCTCAGTGTTTGCACAAAAGTCAATGTCCCTTAGATAACAGGAAAGGTACCTAAAGCTTTGCCACATCTTTTAATCATCCACCTCTTTAATAGTTTCTTCTAATAAATTTCTAGACATTTTCAATTTCTTCTATCAGTTAAAATGACCAAAGGTAAAATTAGCGCAATATTGAGCAGACAATGTAGCGGCAATTCCCAGGATGCTCTAATATTTCAGTATCTTGTCACCATTTTGTCGATTTCAGAGGAATTGTGTGCAACTGTGATCTCACTTAGTGCTGTATCCAGAATTTTAAAAACCGCACTGAGAGAATTTGTTATTCAAAGTGGCCTCAAACAGATAAATTAATAGGATATATTGGTTAACCCAACACTAAAACATCATAGCCATTARATATAGTCAGTAGATATTAAACAACGGAGTTATTCTTGTCAGGACTCCAACATCTTTGTCCCTACGCATATACTAAGCTAAGTTTTGTCTTGGTATCTTATCAATAAGCAGCGTATGTAGAAATATATCTTACTTTACATTTTGGTGGTTTGGGTTTTTTTTTTTTTTTTTTTTTTTTTTTTTTTTAGTTTAATTTGTAATAGCCATAAGGAAAACCACATTCTTTCTTTTTTTTTGTGACCTAAACCTGTAAAAAATCCTCAACCCTATGATATCTATTTCATCTAATTTCATTTATTATGATATAAGAAGATAGAACTGAAGTTATACTATTGTCAGTTACTGAATGATCATTCTCAAACTTTATAACTCAGGCAACTTTTAAAACTTAAGAGTCATCAATATTTTTCAWTAGTTTCTTCTCATGACTGAAAACAAATTAAAGCATCTTCAGTTCCCTTGCGTATTTTTGGAAGCATTTAAAAAAGCAGCACTTTAACTGATCCCTGGCCAAGCAACTATATAAAAKAGCACCTCTGACTCCAACATAAATTTGTATGGTCATGTTTTGCATGGGACAATCGTTTCCACCAGCACATCTGAGGGATTTATGAATGAAGTTTCACTGCTTTGGATGCAAATGCATTATAACATAGTAGTCATCAACAATTCCAGCTATCCCTGACTTTAAACACAGCACAGGCAGTGAATGTGCTAAGCAGAAAGAGGGATGCCCTTCATCCTTAGCTCAGTACCACCATCACCAGCCACGTAACAAGGCAGGACAACACTTGATGCAGGCACTGGGCTGAGCCCAAGATATGGCCAAGGGACAGCAGCAACACTGSGACACRGCAGCTTACSASATGAATGCTGSTAGATAAGGCCAGATACTGACAGGTGAAAGAAGCAATGGGAGGAACCATAAATTCCATAGGAATTCCTCTAATTGACACAGACTGTTACTCACCCAAGGCTGTGCTAAATCCCTGGACTTAAAAACAGGGACACAAATCAAAAAGGGCCATGGGGGATGGACATTACAAGGGATCTGCATTAGGTGATTCTGAAAGTTTGTACGTCTCAAGTACWTCAGCCAACAGCGAAAGAGAGAGGGAAATGCGGCCGGGAAATTAGGATAAAAAGGAAGCTGTATCTTCTTAACAATTTGAGAGACTCTATGGGAAATTGTCAAATTATCTCTCCCTTTATTCGAATAAAGTTTCAGGACTCCTCTGTCTCCTTTTTGGACATAAACCTGGTGTTTGTGGATTAACCTTCCTGCCAAGTGAGATCAGAGGTGCGCGGCCCAAAAGCAATCTTTCTACAGCAACCACGAGAAGGGCGCAGTAGAGCCATTACCATGCTCCCACAGGATATGGGTTTCCAAAACCCCTCAGCTCCATCTGGCCCTTCCTGCCTTCCACAGAGCCTCCGGCCCCGACGGGACGGGACGGGTTGCAAAACCCTCCCCGTACAAACACGCAAAAGGCAGGAAGGGCAAAGTCCTACGCAGGTGTGTGTGGGAGGGTGGAGGCAASGATCCCGACGGCTCCCGAGGCCGGCAGGGACGCTCACTCTTTCCGCCGAAAAAGAAAAAGAGGAAACGCGAAGGACATTGAGCCCAACGAAACGAAACAACACCCAGAGCTGTGSCCGCCGCCAGCCCCGGGCCGGGCCGCTTCCGCCGCCAGCACTGCGCAGGCCCGGGCGGCCGCTGCCCTCATGGAGGAGGAGGAGGATGAGGATGGCGGAGGCCCGAGGGCCCCGGGGAGCCGGGCCGGGTCTGCCTGCTTCGTGCGGTGCCTGTACGCCGTGGGATTCCTGGTAAGCAGGGCGGCGGCGGCCGTGGAACCGCCCAGCGCGGCCCGGGGCGAGCGGCGCGCCCGGAACGGGAAGATTCTCCTTTCCCGTGCAAGGCTGCGGCGTTCTGGGGGCTGCGGCTGCTCCTTGGAATTGYAGTGTTTGTAGCGGTGGTGGTGTGCAGCGGCTGTGGTGATTTACCCGTGCAAACATGGGTAAATGTTTATCCTGCAGTTGGATACACAGGTCGGATCTTCTTCCYGTGAATGTCATGGAATAGCGCAGCACCCGGAAAGCCGAGTCTCGCCTTGTGCGTGTAGGAGAGCTGTTCCCCGTTTCCCTGAAATA